CGAGGAGGTAATAGCGGATGATGCGTTCACGGCCGAAGACGGTGCCATCGACCGTATTTTGGAGGCTCTGGAGATTGCGTTCGTTTTCTTTCAAGAAGAAGAAGTACCAGAGGCTCTCAAGAAGGTAGTATACACATGTGTCAAAGATCAGAGGAAACACCGCTTCACGACCTTCGTCAATTGAAGACGGTTCGAGTTTACGGCATTCGAGTGAGTCGATACTTTTTGCTAGACGCATTCAAGGGTTCTTCTACACTGCGGTCTGCTAGGCTCGACGAGAGATCACATGGCAAAGTTCTCGGTTAGACCGGCAGAATGTATCAGGTCGACCAGATTGCAAAGGCGCTCATTCGATTCGACCCGCGAGATCGGCGAGCTGGACTTCCACGTTCTACCGCAGGCCTCGCCGCGCTGACGCATTTCGGCCAGGGCGGCGAGGGCGCGAGTCACGTGCCACCGGCGCCGCTCGACCAGGCCATGACGGATATTTGTGACGAGCTGGGCGCGCTCGAGATCGAGATGATCGGTTGCGAGGGCGACGGCTGTGAGGATAATGAAGGCGCGCTACCGGTTCGGGGTCGGAGCCGATCGATGGCGCCTACTACGTTGATGCAGAGCTGACGAGGAAGATGTACGATGGGCGCTGCTGGACGCGAGACCAGCGACGAGCTACCCTGCGGAGTGCAAGACGGTGCGGAACCAGTTGAAAGAGGCTCGGAAGGCCGCCATCACCTCCCAGCGGCAAGGGTCTCACCACGGGTTCCGGCGGCAACGGCCGCAAGGGCTAGGCGTTCGGCCAGATGCGCCGGATCCCGATCGAGCTGCTGAAGTTGTGCGCGCGGCGCGCCGAGCGCAAGCAGGTTGGTCGCTTGGCCGGGGTGTCCGTCCAAAGGGCCATCGCAGCGACCGGCGCTCTCAGCGTTTACGACATGCACTTCGAGGTCAACAAGGTTCAGCATCGGCGAGCCCGTGCCCGCTTCTCCTGTCGAGGGTGCCGTCAGTTTTTCCATGGGCATGATCTCGGCGATCATCTGCCTCGCCCTGGACGCCTGGGAGGCGCTCATGGGCGCGGGCGCGCAGTGCGGCATCGTCGGCCAGGGCGGGGGCGGGGGCGGGGGCAGCTGCGGGCAAGCTCGATGAGTTCGGCTTCCAGCCGCGCTGATTTTCAGGCCAGGGCCCACCGCCGCGCGGAATTGGAGGAGATGCGAAGCTGGTTGGACGAGTGGACATTCGGGTGGGTAGTGCAGGCGTCAATGGCGTCGTTTCTTTTCGCGTGCGTGATGAGCCAGCTGCGGCGCTGCTACCCGTCGGGCTCACTCGCGCCGAGGAGGTGGATCTGAAGCTGGGTTTTTTTCTTCGCAAGTGCGGGGCGGGCACAGCGCTCCGCGCCATCGGCGCGTTCGGCGCGGCCATCGGCGCCTTCGAGTTCGCGCCCGGGGGGTGGGGCGGGCCAGGGGCTGGAAAGAGTTCAGCTGCATCGTTGGCCGTAGTTGATGTCGCGCCATCGTGGACATTTGCGCCGACGCCATCGCTGACGCCGCCGTCGTCGCCATCAGCAGCAGCTCCATCCTCGACAGCTTTAGCGAGCCAAATGCCGACGTCGTCAAAGATAACCAGTGCAGCGATGCATTTACAAACGCGGGTTTCGACTCCTGCTTCCAGCTCAGGCCGCCTGCGGGTAATCAATTTACATGTCGATTATGATTGGAGCCCCCCTCGCAAACTCGGTGTCCTTCGATATCGCTCACTGGATCGCGCCGGCTTCTCGTGCGACTGTTTTCTCGTGCGACTGTTTTCTCGGGGGGGGGGGTCCATTTCCAGGTCGGCGGCGAGGCTCGGAGCGATTTGCGCCGCAATGCCGCGCGCCGGACCTGCTCGCTCAGGCAGGCGCCGACGTTTCGCTTGAACGTGACGGCCGCGTGTATACCAACGTGCAAACATGCATTCTGCCAACCAACTGAACTACGATCCGCCGGCCTACTTGGCGGGGCCCCCGGCGGGCCCGGATGGGCCGAGCGACCGCGTGCCAGGTGCAGTTGCGCTGCGCCCGATGAAGTCGCGAACCATGTCGACTACCTCGCTCAAGTGCAAGACTTTTCAGGGATCGTGCGCATCGTTTTCTATCCACTGACCCTCCCGCTCGCGCGCTTGAGTTTAAGGGTGTTTTTTTCGTGCGGTTGCCCGCTGCGCAATGAGATCGGCCGAGGCTCGGGCGGCGTGCGCGCGCGCCGAGAAGCTCGCCTGGCCCCTGGCAGCTCCGCGCGGGATGCGCGAGGGCAGGCGCGCGCAGGTTGCGGGCGCCCTGCTCGCCTGCGACCCCCTTCGGAGGCGCATTGATGCCGAAAGTATGTCCTGGGACATCCCAGGGCTCCACGGGCGCATCGGCCAGCTCGCTCAGGATCGCACAGACGAAGAGATCGCGGAGGCGCAAGCATCGGCGGCACATCCGCAGCGGACGCATGGGCGGAAGCAAAGGCTAACGGTTTCTAGGAGTGCGCGGCGGACCGATGCCAGGCGCGCCCTTCTCGCCGGGGCCCTCGCGGGCGACGATGTCGCCGAAGCGGGCCCCGACCGTGCAGCGCCTCATTGCGCCGAGCATGGGGGCGCAGCGCACAATTTGGCAACGCGCCCCCACTTGAAGCTGCGCCAGCAAGAGTCCCAGGGCTTTCGCGCGATGCTCCATATCCGGGCCACCTCCCAACGGCCTTCCGCGCAGCACCAGGGCCCGCGCAAGCGTGGAGGCACAAGATGCTTCGTTCGGATCGCGCCAGCATGCCCTCTCCAACGGACCTTTGGACCCGGGCTTCAACTGTGCCTCGGAAGTGTTCATGGCCAGAGGCGCCGAGCCCAAGGGTTCGAGATTTGCGCCGCGAGCTTCCGAGTGCACCCCGCCGCTATGTCTCAGCAGCGCCGACAACCGAATAATATCAATTGCTATCAACAGACCACTCGAATTTCTTTGCCAAACGACAGTGGCCATTGAACAGCGGGGGGGTTCAGGTGGAGGGGTCTCATGTCCAACGTGGTGGACGCTGAAAGTCGCGCCCTGTCCTGGCGGTGCCAACGTGGGCGCGGCGGGGCCAGGGTGATTTTCCCTGGCATCCAGGTGGTCTTTCCATCATCTTAGCACGCGATGATGCGGCGGGTTCTGTCCCAGGTGCAAATGCCGACCTGCGACGCCGATGATCTGGCGGCTTTCTATATGGGGATGTGGGTTCAACTTCAGTTATGCGGACCTTGGGGCCCCGCATGCTGGATTTGGAGGGATATAAAACAAAGGTGCCTTGCCTCGGGAACAACGTTATGTCTTGTGCTTCGACCCGTTCACTCGACTCCTGCTGCCCCAACTCCCGCGCGATTGTTGCGCGAGGGCCTCCGCCGACGACGCGGGGGTCGCTGCCGAAAATCTCTGGGTCGCACTCAAGCTTTGCGTCGCCGTGCTTCTCGTGGCTGAACTTCCGGAAGTGCGACCTCGCCCCGCTGCCCGTCGCCGGCGCAACACAGGTTGCCGCCGAGCTTTCGGGGCGCCGCGTCGCCGCTGCGTGGCCCGAAGTCGCTCGCAACGCCAAGTACCTCGGCGTCTGGGCGGGGCCTGGCGGGCAACGGGGCAGCCGGGGAACTCCTTCGCGCAAGTCGATGGGGCGGGTCTGGGGCAGCAAGCGTCTGAACCTCGGTTTCTTTAAGCCCTTGCGCCTATGCGATGCACGGGCGCGCCCGGTGCTTTCCGGCACTAGCAAGTTTGATCTTCTGAGCAGCTTGCGTTTAAGTTGGGAGCGGGGGGCCCTCGAGGTCATTGCGACAATTTCCCGTGAAGCGATCTTACTTCTCGGAGTCCTTGTTCTGTTTGGACGCGCTTGGTGTTGATTTGAGCCGCCGTGGCCAGTCCTGCTTCTGAGAAAGCAACGAGCATCGTGGACCCCGCGGAAGCTTGGGTCGACCGCCACCTAGATTTTCGCGACGAGGGGTGGACGCACGAAAGCATTACTTTTGTTCGAAGATGTCCTGCTCCTGGCGCCTCTCCTTGGTGCCTCCCTTTCCTTGTTTTGGCGCATCTCTACTTCAGCGCAAGGCTGGGCGCATCTGAATTGCGAGCACAGCTCGGAACCCGATGCCGATGATTATTTGTCGCATGCAATGTTTCGAGCCTTTCGCCTCCCTGAGTGCTGTAGACCAATACCTCCTATACTTGAAATCCCTGCACAATCCTTGTGCCCCGTGCGTCGTGTCTGCGCGTTTGAAGACGCGCTGTAATGCGTGGTGAACTTCCCGACGCTTCCCAGGGCCAACCCGCGACTGCCCCTGGTGCGGTTCCGAGGCGGGGGGCGACATTCTCCATCTTATGTGTTGCCCCTCCATCCGCCCCGTCCTTGCCTTTTTCCCTCTGTTCCCTGCTGGTGTCCCCGCTTCCTCGGCCTCCTCCCGCCTCCTCCTCCTTGCTCCTGAACGGCCCAGTTGTTCAGCCGACCGTCTTTTGTCTTTGGCAGTCCTCGTGGACGTGCTTTTTAACGGGTAACGCACCCTCAAAGCCAAACGTGCGAGTGGGGGAGAATCCATCCTGAGATATGCCCGGGCACGGATTCGACACGCATCGGCGAGGGATGCTCGAACCCAGGCGGTTCTCAGAAGGCAGTTTCAAATCTAGTCTCTACTCGGGCGTGCGCCTTCGTCCATCGGTGCTGAATCCTTCGTGCCTTGCCGCACGGGTATAGCCCCCTTGAGGGGAAACGGATTTGCCCCTCGACGGGCTCTTTGGGGAAGCGCGTTCCTCCTCGCACCCTCGCACTTTCCTCCTCGTTCCCATCGCCCCCCCGTGCTCCTCGACCTCCCCTCCCCTCCCCCCAGCGGCCTCCCCGCCCTCCCGCTCGCTCCCCTTCCGCCCTTCGTCTCCCCCGCCCCCTCACTCCGAGTATCCCCCCCCCCTCCCCCCGCCCCGCCGAGTACCCGCCGTCCGACCTCCGACCCCTCACCCACCCAGCCCGCCGTCGCCCGCCACCCGCGAGGTTGGGCGCCCTCAGCCTCTGCAAGTTCATGATCATCTCCAAAAGGTTTTGCGAGGACCACCCCCGGGTTGCCCCACTCACGCTCCCTCCTCCTCCTCCTCCTCCTCCTCCTCCTCCTCCTCCTCCTCCTCCTCCTCCTCCTCTTCCTCCTCCTGTTGTTTTGTTTCTCCTTCTGACGTTAGGCAAAACTTCAGGAGCACAGCCTGTAGCGTTCCTTCCTGCTCCTCCCCCTCCTCCTCCCCCTCCTCCTCCTCCTCCTCCTCCATCTCCATCTCCTCCTCCTCCTCCTCCTCCTCCTTGTCCTCCTCCTCCTTGTCCTCCCCCATCCTCTCCCTCTCTTTCTTCGCAGTCCTCTTCCTCCTTATCCTCCTATTTTGCGCTGCGCGGGCTTGAGCTCCTCCTCCTCCTTCTCCTCCTCTGTCCTCTCTCTCTCTCTCTCTCCCCCTGCTCATCTTACTTCTCTCTCCTCTTACTCCTCTCTCCTCTTGCTCCTCTCTCCTTTCTCCCCCTCCCCCTTCCTCCCTTCCCCTCCTCGGCCCCCGTCCCCTTCTCCCTCCCAATCCCCCTTCCTCCGGTTCCCCTGGCAGTTGCAGGAGCTGGTGGCCCACCAGTTCCTCCAACCCCCAGGGGAGCCGGAGGAAGGGGGGAGGCATCTTCTCTCCGCCCGTCCCTCCAGCCGCTCGTCCCCTCACCCCCCATACACCCCCCCGCTCTCGCCTCCGGCGGAGGCCCGCGCCTGTGGCCCTCTCCCGGCGGCCCGCGGCCCTGGCGCGACCGATCCCGCTCGGCGTCGGCCGCGGCCCCCCCGCCCGAGGACGGCCCCCGCCCGCGCTGGCTCGGCAGGCTGGCAGTGCCCGCGCGCCGCCGCCGCCGGGGCACGCGCCGATCTGGCCCGCCCGCTCCGTGGTCGGCTACTGCCGGGGGTGGCCCCGGGCCCCGGGTGACCCCCGCCCTTCCAGGGAGGCCCATGCGGCCTCTCCGTGTCCAGGTCGCCCAGGCACAGCACAGCCTTCGGCACGGTACATCGAGATCGATACACTCAACATTGCAACCTGGCGCGTCCCGTGGCGAGTCCCCCTGGCACGTCGCGCGGCGCGTCCCCTGGCACGTCCAGCGGCACGTCCATTGGCACGTCCCGTAGCGGGCACGTTCCGCGGTGCGTCCCCATAACGCGTCCCTTGGCACGTCGCCTGGCGCGTCCCTTGGGACGTTCCGCGGCGCGTCCTCCTTGCATGTCCCCTTGTCAATCAGCTCTGGGGTAGCTACTATGTGCTCAGGCAGCTCGAGCTTAAGATGCGGATCAGTTCGGTCAGGACTCGGATGCAAAGGAGGACTCGATCCACAACGCTATACAGTGGGGGCGCGCATCAAGACACCATCTACTTTTCGTCAGGGTATCCTGGGTGTCTTTGCTCCGCGCGCTGCGCGTTGACTTCCCGCGGCCGTTGAAGGAGCTGCTGCGTTCAGGGTGCTCCAGGTTTCCCCTCAGGTGCACCTCGCGCACGGGTTCTCAGAGTTCGTTTTTTGCGAGGGTTTCTTGCGGCCGCGCCCGCACTGTAGAGCACAATCGCGGCATGGCACATCGCAATTCAGCACGGCGCAGCACACACAGCCCTCGGCACGGTACATCAAGATCGATACATTCAGCATTGCATTTGCCCGTCGCCCAATCAGGTGTTTTTGAAGCGTAGCCATGTTTTACATTTCTATATTCTTTTCCGGGTTCGTGGGTCGTTCATGTTCAGTCATACAAAGACAGAGAGAGAGCGAGAGAGAGAGAGAGATAGAGTTCCAGGTTCCCACGAGGACTCCCACGGGGTCTCTTACCAATACTCATGCTAGCACCCGTCCGTACCCATTTATTTTGGCTCAAGCTTCCACGACTGGACGCAGGTCTTGAAGCAGGCGCGAGCGCCCCTCCTGCCTCTGCAAACCAGCTCCCGCGCCGACACGATGGGCTGCTGTATGGCCTCCCGCCAGGCCCTCGCGCCCGAGGACCAGCAGGCCAGCGGGCCGCCCCCGTACACGCCAGACGTCGCGGAGGTGCCCGTGCCCGAGGACCCGCAGGAGAGCGACGCCTTGTCCGAATCTTTGGCGGCGCCCGTCGACCAGCAGCACCAGCAGGATGTCCCCAAGAAGGAGGAGCAGGAGTCGTTCGACCTGGCGCGGTATACGGACGCCGCGAGCCTCTTCGACGCGCTCGCGTTCACCGTACAGGGCCTCCACCCCGTGCGCTTGGTCCGTATGTCGTGGCTACTGCAGCAGCGCGGCACGGTGCAGAATAGGCGCCAGGAGCTGCCGGAGGAGGCGTTCGTGTCCGCGGACGAGCTGCGGGCCGTTTGGGAGGCCGGCGGGCGAGGAGGAAGAGACCAGGTGGCGCCGATCGTGACCATATAGCTGCTGGGACTCACGCGAGCATCCCGACCCCAATGGGGTGCAGCTGAGTTTGGTGATTGACACCCTGAAGGAAGAGCGCCGCAGGTACTCCAGGTTGAACGGTGGCTTCAAGGGGTTCAGCGAGATGGGAGTCTTCTGGGATTAGCCCTCGCTGCTCCAGGGCGACTCGATCAAGGCCGAGGAGGCGAAGACCGCCGCCCTGCGGCAGGGCAAAACCGAGAAGGACGCGCAGGAGGCCGCGGTCGAGGCCACGCGGACCCCCGCCCGACTTCAAGCACGGGCTGGAGGACACAATGGACCTCTGGCACGCCCACCAGGCCACCACCGTTCTCCTGCTCACCCAGCACCCCTGCGAGCGGGGCAGCGCGCGCAAGTGCGGCTACGACCAGTCCGGCTGGACGACGTACGAGCGCTGGTCCGCGGAGCAGATCAAGCGGGTGTGGCGCTGGGAGGCGGAGTGGAACGCCGTGGCCGACCTGGGGCAAAGGGTGGGGGCGACGAAGGCCGGGAGGAAGTGGCCGGTGGGCCCAGACGAGTTCGACGGGCTCATCGAGGACAGGTCTTCACCAACGGCACGGACCGGGAGGCGGTGAAGGCGCTCTTCGCCGGATGAGCCGCGCGCAGTTGGGCGGCGTGACGACGCTTGCTGGACTTCACCGGGATGCCGCCCCCGACCCCCGAGCAGGCCGCGGGGCTCGCAAGTTGCTTGCGGCTGTGCGCCCACCTGCAGGAGCTGGAACTGAGCAGCCGCGAGATCGGCGACGAGGGCGCGCGGGCCCTGGCGGGGGCGCTGCCCTCCCTGCCCGGCCTGCAGTCGCTGAGCCTGGGCAGCAACAGCATCGGCGCCGAAGGCGCGCGGGCCCTGGCGGGGGCGCTGCCCTCCCTGCCCGGCCTGCAGGACCTGAGGCTTGACGGCAGCAACAGCATCGGCGCCGTGGGCGCGCGGGCCCTGGCGGGGGCGCTGCCCTAACTGTCCAGCCTGCAGGAGCTGTACCTTGGCAGCATCAGCATCGGCGCCGAGGGCGCGCGGGCCCTGGCGGCGGCGCTGCCCTCCCTGCCCGGCCTGCAGGCGCTGAGCCTGGGCAGCAACAGCATCGGCGCCGTGGGCGCGCGGGCCCTGGCGGGGGCGCTGCCCGAGGTCCGTCAGGGGTTTGTCAGGCGTCTCTCGCGCCTCTCGGGTGGTCGCGCCCTGCCCTCGACGCCCCTGCGGGCGTTCGGCGCGCAGCAGCTGCTGCTTTTTGTTTCTTCGGCGTGCGTCGATCCGCCGAGATGCGGACCCCGGGGGCGGAAAATCTCGCGATCGACCGAGGGCGCGCCACGGCATTGATCAGGAAACAAAAGAACGACCCGCTTTGAGCCGGCGCGCGCTGCATCATTCCTCGGTTCCCTCTCTTGGCTGACGCCTGCCACGTGCAGCTTCTGCAGGATTGGCTCGCCGTTCGAGCAAAGCTGTGGCCGGATCGCCCGGATGGCCCAATGTTTTCCGCCACGCACAAAGGGGCGCCAATTTCGATCTCCGCCGACGCAACGCGGAAGTCGTTCGCATCAGTATTTCCTGGGCGCTCAACTGGCACCCGCTCGCTTCGGAAAGGCGGGGCCCACTGGTGGAAAGCTGACGGCCACGTCCCGGGCGAAATGATCCAAGCTCAAGGCGGCTGGTCAAGCCCAGAGACCATGCGTTCCGTTTACGCGCGTTTCAACGAGCAAGAGCGCCTTCGCACGTTTGCGCAAGCAGCGGCGTGCTTCGGCACCGGGGGCGTCGCAACCGTTACACCCACTCAACGCGTCCACGCCTCGTCGCCAGAACGAGGGCAGTCTTCGGCCGCGCCCGTGCCTCAATGGAGACGCCTGGCGCGCACCTCGCGAGCGCCACTCTGCCTCGTGAGGGGTTGGCGGCGCTGCCAAACGGCGTCCTGCCAGCAGGCCTGCAATTCCCCTGGCGCCCCCTCTGCGGCAGGTTTTGCCGACCCCTGCCCTCGCGGAGTGCACGACAGATGTGTGACCCCGCGATCTTTCATTTCCGACGTCCCCCCTTAGTGTTCGGTGCCACCATTGCCGTCGTATCCTGCTCTCTTGTTCGCCTCCGCATCCTGTCCTCGCCCCACCGTCGCCCTCTCTCTCTACCTGTTCCCTCCCGGGGGCGAGGGGCGGGGGGGAGGGGTGGCCCATCGGGGCGGGCGCGGCGGCCATCCAGCCATAATGCGACTTTCGAAGGGAGCTCGCTTTCGGGAAAGGGGCTTCAAGCGAAGGGCCAGCAGCGACATATTCTGTATACTTGCTCCTTCTGTTCGGACGTGACGCTGGCGCCGCGTCGGCCCCACGGTCGGGGATTCACCGCCCCCGCGCCCTGCCGAGGTACAACAGGAGTTGGGGGGTCAGCAGGTCCCGCTCATGAGAAAAACCCGCCCACTCTAAAACCCCTTACGCCAGTTGCAATCCACCTCCCTTCGGAGGGGGGGGGGGGGGCGGCGTGGCCCAGCGGCAGGCCTGCAATTCCCCTGGCGCCCCATTGGCGGCATGTTTCTGCCGACCCCTGCCATCGCGGAGTGCGCGGGAGATGCGTGGCCACACGATCTCTGATTTCCGACGTCCCCTCCTAGTTCTCGGTGCCACCATTGCCTTCGTATCCTGTTTTCTTGTTCGCCTCCACATCCTGTCCTCGCTCCACCCTCGCCCTCTCTCTACCCGTTCATTCTCGGGGGCGGGGGGCGGGGAAGAGGGATGGCCCATCAGGGCGGGCGCGGGGGCCTTCCGGTCAGAAAATCATGTTCCTGTGGAGTTGGCTGGGTGCCTCGGGTTTTCTGCGCTCTCCCATCCCCGTGTTGTTTCCCCCTCGCCCCCACCTGTGGGCGTCGGCGGGACGATCGGAAGAGTCGAGGATGGGGGACAACATTGGGGCGGAAACGGCGTTGGGCCCACCGTCGCTCGTCGGGGGCGGGCGCGAGCGGGTGCGAGGGCCACCCAGCGACCTGGCGCTCGCGCGGCCCGCGCGCCCGCCACCCGTCGCCGCCCGTCGGCGGCAGCGAGCTCGGCAGCATGCCGCCGCCCCCGCCCCCCCCCCTCCTCCGATTTTGATTAGGTCGCGCGTGCGTGCGCTGTCCCAGCATCCCCCGGCATTTCCTGACTTGGCGGCTGCGGCAGGTGCGACCGGCCGTTGGCCCAGCAGTGTGTCGCCAAGGTGGGTTTCGCACCCGGGCGGGTCAGCGCTGCCTGTCGGGATGCCGCTCCTGACGGGGTCCGTGGTCTTTGACGCCGTCGTCGTGGGCGTTTTCGGCCCCGTGCTGTGCGGCGATACGCCCCTCGCAGGGCGTTTTCCTCCTGGTCCTCCTCCTCCTCCTCCTCCTCCTCCTCCTCCTCCTCCTCCTCCTCCTCCTCCTTTTTCTTCATCCTTCTCCCTTCCTCTCCTGCTCGCCGCCATGGCGTGGCTCCCGCGAGTCGCGGTCCCTGTCCGAATTCTGCGGCGTGAGCGGCCGGCCGTCGGCCCAGCATTGCGTGGTCAACGGGGGGCCTCCCGCCCCGCGGGTCGGCGCTGCCTTTTGTGGGGGTCGTTTCTGATAGAGTATTTGGTCGACGAGACCGTCCTGAGTGTCATCGGCCCCGCCTTGTGCGGCGAAACGCCCCCTCCCAGGGCGGTTTCTTTCTCTTCGGGCCCCCCCCCGCGCGATGGTCCCCCCCGCCCTCCCCTGTGGGCGTAGCCTGGTGCTGCGCTGCGGTGCCCCCCCCCCTGTGGATGTGGCGTGGAGCTGTGGTGGTGCAGAAGTGGGCGTGGCGTGGTGCTGCGCTGCGGTGCCCCCCCCCCTGTGGATGTGGTGTGGTGCTGTGGTGGTTCAGAGGTCGTCGTCGTCGTCGTCGTCGTCGTCCTCGTCGTCCTCGTCGTCCTCGTCGTCCTCGTCCTCGTCGTCCTCGTCGTCATCGTCGTCGTCGCCGTCGTCATCGTCGTCATCGTCGTCGTCGCCGCGGCCGCCGCCGGCGTCGTCGCCGCCGCAGCCGTCGTCGTCATCGTGGTCGTCGTCGTCGTCGTTGTCGTCGTCGTCGTCGCCGTCGTCGTAGTCGTCGCCGTCGTCGCCGTCGTCGTCGTCGTCGTCTCTGGGCTCATACCATCTGGGGGGGGGGGGCGAGGAATTCCGGGACCATACCATCTGGGGGGGAGGGGGGGGGCCCGTGGGCCTGGAGCCCAGGACCATATATTGGTGCTGGGTTGCTGCACGGCGGACCGCGCCCCGCCCACGTACTGGCTCTTCACCTTTTGTTTGACTGCATTGCCTGATTTGGCGTGCGGCCTGGCTTGAGACGTCGCGCGGACACGGCGCCCCGCTTATGGTGGGTGACAAACGAACGACAATACTCACGCGCACCCATACATGCACGCGCGCTCGCTCTCACAGATGAATGCGCGCGCGCACAAACATGCACACGCACGCACGCACGCACGCACACACACACAAGTACACACACATTCACACACACACACACGCACCCACACACACACACACACACGCACACACACGCACACATACACACATTCACACACGCACACGCGCACGGCGCGCACACACATTCACACGTTCGCGCACACATCATTCACAACACATGCAGGACACGTACACAACACGCGCACAAACACACACACACACACACTCGCGGGATAAGTTGGGCATCGCGCGCGCCGCCCATTCGCCATGGCCGCCCGCCTCCCGCTGCGAATTGCACCCGGGCGGCTGGCCTCCGCGGGGGGGCGGCCAGCCGACGGTTCCGTGAAGGGCACGGGCCCGCGCGGGCCTGCTTGCCTGCCGCGCAGCGGTTCGCCCCTTGCTTGTTGTCTGCGCCCGGCCTCCCTTCCCGCCTGCCCGCCCGCCCCGCCGCGCCCAGCTCCACGCCGGCGCGTTCGTCGTCGTCTGCTAGCGTTGCCGTTCTCCCCCTTTCGCCGCACAGCGCAGCCTGTCTGGGCCCTGCGTGGAATCGCGCCGATTCTAGCCGCCGTTCGACGCGAGTTGCCCCATGCCGGGGGCCATTTTTGGGGCGGTGAGATAATTATACCTACAATTACAGAGTTGCGTATCTACGTATTGGCTTGCAGCCGAATCTGTCAAATTACGCGCTGGAACGCAAACGATATTTGCACGATGGACTAGCGTGGTGGCTCGTGAACCGCGCTGGTCTAGGAGGAGGGATGCCAGTTGGGCAGTCCTCGAACAAATGGTCGACTGCATGTGGTGTCGCACACGTTGACATCGATACTTCGTCCTGGGAGGGAGGAAACATCGGGAATGGCAGGAGTGAGGAGCTTAGAGAATCAGCTACGCGAGCTGATTCTCTAAGCCAGTTACATTGCCACGACACGTTTCATTCCACGAGTTCATTGCCAGCGACATGCTTCCCAAAATCAAGATTTGTAAGATTGACATTTTTTCATTGTTTTGCACGGATTCAGACGAGGGTCGTTGGATACCGAAGAAATCTTTGAACGCATCCTGCACCAATCATGTCATGGTATGGTTCCCGACATCATTCGATTATTACCAATGCCTGGAACAAGTTAAATATGAATTGTTTCCGCCATAGTTGGCCCCCGGGGGGCCGTTCCAGCGGGTTTTGGGCTCCAGGGACCGTCAAGCCATGCTCACCATGATTCGCGGGGTCCACAGGAAACGGTGGAGACGTCCATAGGTCTCCGCACCGATCCAAAACATAGAGCCATCGGAGGCTGTGTACCCGTCCGCCCGCGAGGACAACTTGAAGTTGCTCTTTTCCATCCTCTTCCCAAAAGGCAAGAGCACCAGGAGAGTGTCTCTCTCTACTGTGCCTGGCCACGGTGAGGGACGAGGTTGGAGGGAGGAGGAAAGAGGAGGAGGAGGAGGAGGAGGAGGAGGAGGAGGAGAAGAGCTTAGTTTTGCTTTGACTGAGCACAGGAGATCGTGCAGGGAAGGGAGGGAGGAGGAGGAGGAGGAGGAGGATGAGGTTAGACGAGAGATGAGAGACGAGAGAGGAGATATGATTGATGATAGAGAAGGATGAGGAGGCAGAGGAGGAGGAAATGGAGGAGGAGGAGGAGGAGGAGGAGGAGCAGGACAGGTGGGTGGGGGGACTGGTAGGGGGAAGGGGAACCGAAGACGTATCAACGATGTTGCAATGAACCATTCTCCCAAGCTCCCTCTTCATAGGTCCCTGCAAGAATTCATCCCGAAAGCCTTACGTCTGGTGCCGCCGACCCTGACTTGGGACGACGACGACGACAATGGTGACGACGCCGGGACCCCCCCTGGGACCTCTCCGGGCTGGGGAGTGATCAAATGGAAGAGGTTTCTCTTCGACTCGATTGCGACGTTGCTCGATTTCCCTTCGACTTGAACGCTTGAGGAGGAGAACCCAGGGACAGTTGCGGAGCGACGAAGGCGACGACGACTCCAACGGAAAAGCGTCAGGTTACGACGATTCAAACGGAAAAGCTTCTCACACACGCCGACAGGATCGACGGGTTTTTATTGCGAAGTGCCCCATTGAAACACCATTCTTGAGATTGCAATGCCGCGAATCAACGCGACTGTTGCGTCCTGACATTCATAAGTCGTACCAGGACGCAACTCCTCAAAATTCAAAACCGCGGGATGGGAGATTTTTTTCAACATATTTCCTTGCTCACGTGGTGAGTGGTCTTCCACCGCGCCTCGTCGCCCGAGGTTCCCCTCTGCAGCACATCGGGCGGGCGTCCACACTCCAGCGACCTGCCCACGCGTCGGTACCGCGTCTCACTTCTCACACTCTGCTTCTCGCACTTGTCTTACCAAACTTCCGTTCCAGCCACCGTTTGTGGCTGGCCTCGCTCCCTGCGCTGTAGCTGATGGCGGCGGGCTTGGATTTGGACGTCCCCTTCCGCTTTGGCTCCAACGCTTCGCCCCCCACCAGCCACTTGTACGCGATCGCGGCTCTGGCCCTCCGCATGGCCCAGCTCGGGCTCGCGGATCCAGCCGTGGCGACGAGGCGGTAGGAGGAGTAGCTAGAGCTAGGGACGATAGATGGCTCCAACTTATCCTCCCTCTTCTCGCAAGCTTCTATCTTCGGAGGAAGAGGCATGGACATACTAGGCTCCAACTTCGCCTCTCTCCTCCCGCAGGCTCCGCCCGTCTCGCGGGTCGCGTCGGCCTTAACGTAGGGCTCCATCTTCTCCACAGGCGCACTCGTCTGGTCTGTAGTTGATGGCATCGGGCTCGTCCTTCGCCTTAGCTCGTCGGGGCTCGTCGTCGTCGCACAGGGGCTGAGGACGTCGGGCTCGTCTGTAGCTGATGGCGTCGGGCTCGTCCTTCGCCTCAGTTCGTCGCAGCGCGTCGTCGTCGCACTGTAGCTGTTGGCGTTGGGCTCGTCCTTCGTCTTTCCCTTCTCGCTTGCCCTGAGCTCGGCGCTGTAGTTTATGGTGTCGGGCTCATCCGTCGCCTTCCACTTTTCGCACGCGCTGCCCGTAGTGTTGGGACTAGCTAGGTACATATATGGCTCTGACTTCTCGGGTTCCTTGTTCCCAGCGCTGTAGCTGAGGACGTCGGGCTCCGCTGCGGTCACCTGCCACACCTGGTCGTTGACAGCCACTGTGTAGATCGTTGACCCGCAATGGCACATCGCTCCCTTCTGCACACCAGGGCGTCGACTCCGACGCCTGCGGCCAGGTATGAACGCGAGCGCCTCGCAGTTCCAGTGGAACTCCGTCTGCACCCCTGTTTCCTGCTGCCACTGCCCTATCTTCTCGCACGCGCCTGCGTAGCTGATGACGTTGGGCTCCTTGCTCGCCCGCCGCCACTGCTCAGCTTCCTTCTCCAACTTCTCTGCCTTGGCCTTCCACTTCTATATCTCACTCTGGAGCCGCTGCATCAGCCTGTCAGCGGCTGCGCGCGCTCCAGCTGCCCCCCGCAGGGGCTCCCGGTCCATGGTTCAAGGTCGCGCCGGCGGCGCTGGGGGCATCAGCTCCGCGGGCCGCGCCGAAATGGCTAGGCCGCGCTGCTGAGCCACCTAAACCGCGGGATGGGAGGAGGAGGGAAGGAGCAGGGGGAGAGAACGGGGGATTGTTGAGTCACTCTGTGTTCCACAGCGCGCGCGACGGTTTCACAGAGCCTGTTGAGTCACTCTGTGTTCCAGAGGGTGCGTGTCTGAATGCGTTTGTTTTTGGCGATGCGCGCGCATGCGCCTATCGCGTGCTCCTCCTCGTCGTCCTTCCCCTCCTCCTTCTCTGCATCTGAGGTGGCTCCCCAGCGCGGCCCCGCGCAGCCATTTCGCCCCGGGGCGGGCGCGGCACGCGGATGGGCCCGTGCAAGGCAGCCCCCAGCGCGACGGAAGGCGCGACGGGACCACTTCGCGGCGCGGCAGGAGCGCGCGCCGCCGCAGACCGACTGGTCAAGAGACTGGTGCGAGAAGTGGCAGAACGGAAGGAGAAGGCAGCGTGGTGGCAGCGGCAGGCGACCCCCGCCCCTGACTGCAGCAAGCAGGAGGCACAGTCGCAGCCCGACGGCACCAGCGGCCGCGAGGACCCCAGAGTGAGAGAGCACAGCGAGAAGGGCTTCGAATGGAACCGTGGGGCGCCCGTGTTTGTCCCGCGCCGGCGGGTCCGGCGGAGGAGGCCGAGGGTGCACGCAGGAGCAACATGCACCTGCGGGGCGACGATCTTCACGGTGGCCGTAGAAGAGCAGGTGTGGGAGGTGTTGGCCGAGCCCCCCGACGGAGACGAAGTCTGCACGGAGGAGAGCTGGACTGCGTGCGAGAATTGCGGACAGTGGCAGCCTCAAGGGGACGGACATTGTGCGGGGGAGGCCTTCATGGAGACCAGCGGCGCGTGCGAGAAGTTGGAGGCGACGATAGAGCCAAACGTCACCAGCTGCAGCGTAGCGATCAGAGCGCGCGAGGAGAGGGAAGCGAAGCTGGAGCCCGCTAACTCCCCTAGCTACAGCCCTGTGAGCAGCGCCTGCGAGAAGTCGGAGGCAAAGACGGAGCCCAACATCAGCAGCTACAGCGCCGTGAGGCTGGAGGCAAGTATAGAGCCTGTTATCCCTAACCACGACTCCAAGACCTGCGCGGGCGATCGGCGGAAGGCGAGGAGTGAGCCCGCCGCGATCAGCTACAGTGCGGGGACGGGTGCGTGCGAGAAGGAAACGGCGAAGCTGGAGCCCTTTGTCCACCCTAGCCTGGCCTCCTCGGGTCCCCTCGTCGCCACGGCTGGACCTGCGGAATCGGAGCGCGGTTCGGTCACGGAGGCGAAGGTTGAGCCCGCAGTGGCCAACTACAACGCAGTGGCCAGCGGCGGCGGCAACAACGGGGACGCCGGGGATCGAGAGCGCGAGAAGTGCGAGGCGAAGACGGAGCCAAACGTGAACTACTACAGTGCTGCGATCGGGGGGGCGAACGCTGCGATCAAGCCCGCTACCCCTAACCACGACTCTGAGTTCGGCGAGTGCGATCAGCGGGGGGAGAGTGGGGAACCCGACGCGATCAGTTACAGCGCGGGGACCAATCCGTGGGAAAGGGGAAGGCGAACACCAGCATGTTGATGTGGCGAGCGCGAGCCGAGATCTCCCGCAAATGGCTGGGCCCGAGCAGGTGCCAGCGCGAGCAGGGGGGCGAGGCAGAGCAGAAGCCAGACGTCGACAGTTACAACGATGGAATCGGCTGCAAATTGGAGGCGCAGGACACCCACGGCGAGTGGGGGGCCCTCCCAGAGGCGGACTCAAGGAAGGTGGAGAAGAGGTACAGGCAGTGGGTGCGGGGCGACGGCGGCCACAGCCGCACGCTCACCATCCAGGGCTCCAACGGGAAACCCTCCAGGCCGTTCAGGACAGACTTCGATGAGCAGATCCTGAAGACGACGGGGGTAAAGAATAGGCGTACCATCCCGATCCGCCGAGTGCGAGAGCGAGAGGAGGGGGCCGAGGTGGGCCGAGCGGCGCTGGGGGCAGCGCTGGCGCGCGCGCGCCGACCGCGCGCCCGCGCGGGCGTGCCACGACGTGGCGGCTCGAAAGAGCTCGGAAAGAGCTCCTTCTCTGCATCTGCTTTGCTCCTCAAAGGAGCAGGGTCCCGGTCTCTTTCAGTTTTGGTGGGTCGCCGCCCCTTCCCCGGAAACATAGAGGGACGCAGAATGCGGAAAAACGAGGCGGGCTTATTTGTTGTTGCTCTTTCTTGTGTTGGAATTTGGGGGATGGGGGAGCCAGGAAAAACAAGGCATTGCTACTTCGCCTCCTCCCTTTGTTCCTCCCCCCTCCCCTCCACCTTCCCCTGGAACAGCAAAAGCGAAATGATATTTGCTAGGGGCGGGGGCGGGAAGCAACGAAACCTTGCTACTCCGCCTCCGCCTATCCCTCCGCCTTCGCCCTCTAGAGCATCCCGAAGCTTTGAGAAACCCTCTTGATTTCGAAGGCATTGTGGTGTCCTGCCAGGTCATCAAACATTCAAGCCTTCCATGTCCTCCCTGAGCTCTCTGAAGCCTAATGCAACAACGCCCAGCACTTGTGGACCTCCCCGAAAGACCTGCTAGAGGACCCGAGAGCTCTGCGAAACACTCTAGAACCTGGTGGAGCCCCCCCCCCCCCCCCTCCAGTGTTCAGTGTTCCAGAATCTTTCCGAGCACCCCAGAGTTTCGTTGGGCAGAGCCGTGCTTTGACATTACGTGGCCGTGTTTTGCATGGCGCTGCTTGGCGTTTCTTGTAGCTGTTTGGCATTGCTTGGCATTGCTTCGCATTGTTTGTGGCATTGCCTGGCTTTGCTTTGCATTATTTGGCATTGCTTGGCATTGTTGGGCATCGCTGGCATT